GGCAACCCCTCCACTCAAGGGGGCAATTCGCTCGGACCCCTCTGCTGGCAGCCTCAGGAAAGTTTAAGACAACTGCCTGGTTTCCAGAAACCCAAGCAGGAGCGGGGTTGGTGGAGAGCTTCACCATGTGCCAGGCACTCTTAGGGTCCCAGGAATGAGCACAAAACCCTCAAGATCCTAGCTGACTAACACCTTCCACCCTCTTCCCAGGTTCTCCAATGCTGGAATATTAATGGCTTTTGGGCTCGTCTTTAATTATTGGTATGTATTTGTTTGAGGGTGGGAAGGGTCCTGCCCATTTTTTTACTATTTAAAAGAAGTCCTCTCATTTAGAAACACCAGGAACTGCTCTATTCTTTCACTCTCCAATAACTGCATGGAGGAGAGGGGTAGGTTTTTGTGGGATCCCCATTTTCAGAGGTACTCACCCCCATCCAGGCCCCCAGGCTGGGCAACATCTGGGTGACCTCCACCAAAAGGGGTAGAGTCGCCCAAATGGGCCACCTGGACATCCTCTGACGTTTTTATTGTGATGCTGGACGAGAGTTGGTTTTGGTAACCTGGAAAATGCGTCTAATTCTGATCCATGATGCCAGGAACCTTCAGCCAACAGATAAGTTAAGGAGGAAGTTTTCTAATACAATTTTCTGGCTCCAACCACCTCGCTTCTCCCTTAGTGTTTTTCCACTTGGCTGAAGGTCTGGCTAGAGCTCGAAGTTTAATTGGAGTGATCTGATCTTGATTGATCTGCCTTGGGGTGAGAAATGTCCAGAACTTGGGACACATAAGGACAAGCTTCAGACTCGGGGCATACCTGCACTAGAGACATTAATGGGCTCTGGAGAGTTCAAGGACCAGGACAGAAGAGGGGATTCAGGCGGGACGCAGGACATATGGGAGGGAGGACTTTACAGGGTAAAAGGAGTGACTACAGGTTCTGATGCCAGATCTGAGCTGTAATGTTCCCTCTGCACTTGGCTCACTGAGTGATCCTAACCAACAGTGATCGCTGGACTCTGAACCTCTCTCTCATCAGTATGTGGGAGCCAAATGTGAACCCCAAAACATGCCCTTCCCAGGGGTGGCCCTCTGGGGCACCAACATCCATCCATTTCTTAACCTAGATGGAGCATCCTGTGGGTGTCAACTTTGTGCTAATTCCACGACTTCTACACCCAAGACTTGGCACTTTTCTACCATCTGGCAACCTTGAGTTAAGTTTTCCACGTTCAGTGGTCCTGAAACAAGCCAGGTGGCGTGCGGGACTGGGAAACGTGTGCTGTCGATCCTCGGCCCTTGGAGAATGAATCCTTCAACTTTCAACCCCGCTCAATGGACTGCGCGCTGGGACGGAGGCAAAGACTTAAATGAGTAGCAAATGAAACCTCGGCTCCGGCACCAAAACTAGAAGCGTGCCCTAAGAACCAAGTCGCCCTTGCCCTGCAGACGCAGTTCACCTCATTATGATAATCAGTGTATTTTTCCTTTGCAGACAAAGAAGGCTCCTTATGAGACGAAGATTGGAATCCAGGAGCTACCTCATTAACGTCCGCAGCCTCTTCCTCGACAAGGCCTGAGATTAGCCCTGTGTTCATTAAGGGAAAAGGGCGGAAAGTGGAATAAAACTGAAAAACACAGCTGGGGAGAGGGGGAGGGCTCTTTCTGTTGGCCATTCATTCATTGAAAGACTCCGTGTACCTTCGAGATTTAATCACCAGCAAAGGGCTGGGGGGTGGGTTTAACCAGGATGCAGGAGGTAAAAAGGTTAAACTTGATAGGAGGAGTTAAAAACCCAAAATGGGGCAATTTGATTTGAAAGCTTCCTGGGATTTGTCACTGGGATCATCAATTTAAAACCTTTTTCCTGTTTACTTTCTTTCAGCCGAACCTGACACATGAGGAAACCTTTCTCCGGATGTATTTTTGGTGTCTTTTAATATTTTCTAAGTCTCTCTACCCTACTTTTTTGTCTTCAGTGCTTTTCTTTAAATTCTTTTCTTCTTTCTCTCCCACTCCCCCCCCCCCCCCCCGCCCCGTCTTTCTTCTCTCTCTGGTCCTCCCGGTGGGAACTTAACCTGTAAGAAAATCTAATGGTGACTCCAATTGTATTTTCTCATGAGTACTTTATTGACCTTATTTCAAGTCTTTTAAATAGTGTCTGGTTCTTACCTGCAAGATAGCCCACCTGACCTGCCAGGGAAAGATGATTAACCCTATTTTACAACTGAGAAAAAGGTGGCTTGGAAAAAACTGACCTACCCCAAGGCCTCAGCACTAGGTGGGTTAGGCAAGGCTCAAACCCAGGGCAAGATGGCAAGAGGCAGGTTCCAGAAGTTGGGAGATCTGGATATGCGAGTTCCTAGGAGGAAGCTAAGAATAAGGGAAGCCAGGAGCAGGTGTCCTTGTGAAGTCTACGAGGTGTGTATGTCAACAGAAGTGAACCGGAGCCGAAAACCCACGTGAGAGAAAGAATGGAAATGTCTCCATGTGTCCAGGAGCCAGAAACGCGTCCAGGGTTAAGCTACAGAAAAGTCATTACCTTAGTGAGAGCCGTTCGACGGAGTAGAGCAAGTCAGGTAGCAGTGGGTTGAAGAGGAAATTGGAGGTGAGGAAGGAAGACAGCAAGTGGAGACAGGCCTTTCGAGAAGCTTGGCTGCGAAAGGAAAGAGAGAGACTGTAGTGTCTAGAAAGCAGGACAGGAGGGACCTGGGAGGCTCACGGCTGTGGAGAGAGCCAAGTTAGGAATTCAGAGAATCACTGACGGTGGGAAGTCCAGGGCTGGCACAGGAGGGACCAGCACAGAGGACACCCCTTCCTTTACAAGGCGAGAGGCAATGGGGGTGCAAATGTGCAGCGGGACCCCAATCTGAAAGGCCACTTGATGGCCTCTGTTCCCCTAGAAGGCGCAGGCCAGCCCCGGGTCGAGACAGGGAGTTGTGAGTTTCAAATGAATTGATGGTCGCAAAAAGGCCTTTGCAAACTGCAAAAGGAGACAGAAACGTTCACTGTAATTACTCACTGGTCGCGGGACGCGCAATTTTACAGCCCACTCCAATCTCACTGGGGCCTGGATTTTCACTGACCATAAATTATGCGTCCTTACATTAAGGATGTAAAAACCAGTGGTAAAAGCTCCTGCCAGCCTCTGGAAGACAAAAGGTTGCCTCCTAATAGCCTGGATTAACTCAAAGCAGATCTCCGCCCACTTCATTTGTCACCTTCCAAGTCATCCTTCTACCTTCATTTGCCACATAATCCAATCAGCCCCTTTCAGATGCCCAGGAGCTATTGTCTACACCAAGCTGGGCTTCTCTAAAGCGGCTGGAGTTGTTTTTGTCTTGTCCGGACAAAACTGGTTGGCTTAAAAGGGGACGAAAGAAAGTGCTAGTCAAATGAGGACCCCAATTAGCTTCCAAGAGACTGTTTTCATCATCTTTGTATCACATACCAGGCCTGGTGTGCTGGGCATATTGTCGGTGTTCCAGAAAATGTTTGTTGAATTCATTCTGGTTTTATTTCTTCTGGAATTTATTTATGGAGTGCAAACACACAGCACCTACTGGGTGCTAGCTGTTATTACGAAGGAGAATAGGGTTGGGCATGTGGCTGATGGGGGACAGCCTCGGGGTGTTAAGTATCTCGCAATTTCCACAGCAATTTACAAAGCACTTTCACAGGAGTTACATCATTTGGTCTTCAAAAGCGCCCTGTGGGGTAGATAAATTCGGGGGTTTTTTGTGTTTTTTTTTTAATCCCCATTTAGACCATGAAAGGAACTGAGACTCGAAGAAGTTAAGCGACTTGTTTAAGGTCATACTGCTATTGAGAGGTGGAGCCGGCACAGAGTACCAGTATTGGGGCCACCCAGACCCCGAGACCACCCTGGGCAGCTGGGATCTCAAACAGACTGTCCCTTTGTCAAATGTCTGACTGGACATCAAAGGGTTTTTAGCATAACTCTGGGCCAGGGGGTACAGGGCGACTACAATGGCACCCAGGATCCAACTCTGACCTCTTCTCTTGCCAGCAATGTGACAAAATACTTACATCCCTCCAGCCTCAGCGTCCTCACTGTAAACATGAGTAAGTCCTATCCCACGGGAGGGGCGCTGAGCTCTCTCACCTTTTTAAAATTACTCAGGTCAAGGCCAAATTCATTCTCACCTGTAAATGAGGCTGCCTCCTTCACATACTCATGTGACATAGAAATAACACTCAGAGTACACAGAAAGTGCTCTGCAAATGACCACATGCGTAATTTGTGTGCCTACTCAAGTCAGCCCAGCACCCAGAGGAGGAGCCCCTACCTGGTGTACAGAGAGCCCAGCAGACAGGGGCTGTCCAGAGTGCTGTAGGAGAATAAGTCAGACAAGTGAGAGGGGTGGGAATGGACTCACCTGCCAAACTTCTTCAACAAACATTTGCCAACCACCTCCTCTATGCCCAGCCCTGCTCGAGGCTGCCTTCTCTCATTCAAGACTCACAACAGCCCTGGGAGGTCGCTCGTCTCATCCCCATTTCCCAGAAAGGACGGGGAGATCTCAAAAGACGTGGGCATGCCCTTGGCAGTTCAGTAGCATGACATCAGGGCTCATGCTCATTCCAGAAGCCCACCCTGGGCCTTGGAATTGCCAGTGAGATGCTGCTAGAGCCTCTGGCCCAGGTCCCCCTCCTGAAAAGTTCCCAAAGGGATCCTTCCATTCAGGACGTCATAAGGGCAACAGCAGGGTCAGTTCAGAAAGACTGACACCTTCCTGAGGGAAGCACTCCAGGTCGCTGGCACATTAACGCAGCAAGGACTTATGGGAAAGTATTTACAGAGACCAAGCACAAGCATAGCAAAGGTCAGGGGTAGCGGCCAATGCCCCCTCACTAACAAAGGTCAGGGGTAGCGGCCAATGCCCCCTCACTAACAAAGGTCAGGGGTAGCGGCCAATGCCCCCTCACTAACAAAGGTCAGGGGTAGCGGCCAATGCCCCCTCACTAACAAAGGTCAGGGGTAGCGGCCAATGCCCCCTCACTAGGGCACCGGTTTAAGCCTTTAGCCAAGAGGGACAGCTGGCTTGTCAGTTCTGGTCCTCTTCATCCTTTGTCATCCTGGTCCTGGGGGTCTCTGCCCGTGGCTGCTGTGTATGCTGGTGGGATCCACGAATCGGTGCTCCTAGTGTCCTCTGCAATTGATCAAAGGTTAGAGGACTCACTTAAAAGGCCAAGTCTAGGTATTAATTATAATTTACATGAATTACAACTAAAACTAATTAGTTAAAATTTAAAATTGTCTTATAATTGCTAATGGGTCTGGGGGTGGTGCAAGGAGGGTGGCAGGGGTGGGGGATCTGGGCCACCATGTTGTGTACAAACTGCCAGGAGGAGGGGTTAGGTACCATAAGGTGGAGATGAGCAGCAAGCACCTTGGCAACAGCTTGGCTTGGAGAGGTGGTCCTTGAAGACAAGGAGGTGAACAGATGACGTCATCCCTGAAGACAGACCCTATGGCATGGGAGGGGGCCGGATTAGAAACCGTCTTAATGACCTCTAATGGCCAGCACAGGAACAGCAGAGAGAGGGAGGGGGCAGTCAGAGGGAAAGGGAGGGGGCAGTGGGAGAGAGGAGGGAGTAAGGAGGGGTTGGGAGGGAAGAGAGAAGGGTATGGGAGGAGGAGGGAGGGGAGAGGAGGGAGGAGGGAGGAGGAGAGAATGGGAGAGAGGAAGGGGAGGGGAAAGTAGGAATGAGGAAAACGGGAGAGGAGGGGGAAGAGGAGAAACGGGAGGGGGAGGAGGGAGAGAAGCGGAAGGGGGAGGAGGGAGAGAAGTGGGAGGGGGTAAGGAAGACTTGATTGACAGGGCACAAGTGTTAGCTGTGTGCGCATGCGCAACCTGAAGCCCGGTTTAGCGGGCCGAGAACCATTTGCAGGCACAGACCGCTAGGGGGCGTACGGCCAGCACCCAAAGCCCAAGAGCACAGCCACCTGAGGCGCGCGCCCAGCGGGAGCCTCCCGCGCCCCGGCCCGCGCCTGGCCTGCAGCTGCCAGGGACACAGCTGGCATAGGATGAGCGGGGTTGCCCAACAGGTCTCTGGCTAGGAGGTCGGGCACAGCGCACCCCAGCCCATCACGCAGGGCCGCTACGTCCCCTAAACGCCACGTCTGCCATCACTAGCCAGAATCCACCTGTGGACCTCGGGCCGCACTCCCACACAAGCCCAGGGGGCCTTCTGCGCCCCTCTAACTGTGGGTGTCACTCTGCACCAGAGACATGAGGATATCAAGGAGACACCCGCCATGAGGGTCTTTCCAGAACACGATTCCGCTTGTAATAAGTAAAAACACAGAACTCTTGGCTCCGACCTTCGGTAAATCCAATTAAACATAAATTAATTAAAATTATAAAGGCCCAGTTCTCAATACCCAGTTTTCACTCTTTTTGTGGTCTCAGGACACATGATACAAAATATGGTATTGCTAGAGAATAATAAAGGCTGCCAAAACCAAAACCGCCTAATATCATCCAGACCACCATCGACCCCCCCAAATCTCGCCTCTCTTCTTCGCCACAGCAAGATTTTCAAGACCCCGCACGATGGCGCCTAATTAACCATTTTACCAGTCCTCTTCATCCTACTCAAATGAACCACATCTTCCTAAGACCCCCAAAAGCAAAATCGATGGAAATAAACTAATCTGCGTCCACACTCTTCCACGACACCCCAAGTCGCACAACCAATGCGGATCACGACATCTCTGCCCAGCGCGAATCCTGCAGCCGCTCCCCAGGGAACCCTGGCATCTTAAAACATTTCCCCCTTAGGTAAATGAATCCAGAATATTCTAGTAAATCCCGCGCCCGACCCCCTCCAGCAGGAGAACAAAGGCCACCTCCCCTCCCCACCCCGCCCCCCAAAATTCCGCAGTGCCACCAGCGCCCTCTGGCGGTCAGAAAGAAAACCTTCCAGAAACCTGCCACGTAGCAACCCGCGCCCCCCCCCCAGCCTGCCGGCCTAGAGTGGGGAGGGGGCGGCGTGGGGGGGGGCTTGACAGGGACAAAGGAAATGGCAAAAGGCAACTTTATCAAATGTCAAAAACCCGCAACACGTCAGAAGCTTCCAGCGACCATCACACAACACTGAAAAGACCCCCGACCCCCAACTCCCAGCTCCCAGCGCCCAGAACCCCCGCAACACGCCCCCTTTTCTGTATTTCTTTCCTCTTGATTAGTCTCTCCCAGATCCAAGGACACGGCCTTCTCTCCACCCCAACCCACCCCCTGCTTCTATTTTGCCTGCGCCCCCAATTACTTGACGCCCCCAGCCGCCCTTCTCTGCGAAACTGATCCTAGGGGGCTTCGGGCAGGTCTGCACTTGGGCGCCATATCTCCCCAATATTAAAGTGGTTGATCAGGGTGAAGCCAAATGATACCAGCTGGAAATTTTACTCCTAAGTGGTCACTGGAGTCTGATCTGCGCTGAACCTGTGTGTACTTGGGTTAGGGATCCCTAGCGGACAGGAACCTCTACTCCTCACGCCTGCGGGCCGCCAAGAACCTGGCCAAAAACTAGGGGAAAGTATGCCCAGGAAACTCTTTTTTTCGGGTGCTTTTCCCCCCTAATTCTGGGGTATGCAAAATACATTCGGCGCCATATCTCCCACCATTCGTGATTCTAACGGTGGCTTCAAACACAGAAAATTGGGGTTTTGGACCTCAATGACTGCGGTACCCCGGGTTCCGACAGGGGTTGGATCTGATTCCTCCTACTCGTCTTAATTTAAGCCCTTACCACCCAGCCTACCTCAACGACTGGACAAGTAAGGGGCCCTGATTTCCCCTCAGGAAAATGTGCCTCGAGATCTCCCTTCCTGACAGAATTTTGTTGCCGACCCTTGGGGACCAGGCGAGGTGGCCGCCTTCTGGAGAAGGTCTCCGGCGTCTGGCGTCTGTCTTTCGGCATGTCCAGAAGGATAGAGCCCAACCCAGAAGGGGGTGTAGTCTTCCTTTTGCACATCCTTTTGGGCAAGGATGGCCAACCACTCACCAGGTGGGGAGATTCTCGCGTGGGCGCCCCGGTTCTCCCGAGGAGCTGCAGCCACGGCCAGCGAGCCAAGGCGCGCTCCATCCCAGCTCTCCGCCGTCTGCGCTAGGGGCTGGCTGGGTGGGGTTTATATGGAGGCGCAGAAGGGGTGGTCTCTGACGTCAGCGCATTCTGCTGCAATGCGCTCATTTCTCCAAAAGTGATTGGCCGGAAAAATGAGCCCCCCAGATTCTATGACAAATTGCTCTAGCCGCACCCAGATTGCAGCAAAGAAGAGAGGAAAAAATTCTGCCGCAGTGCCCCTCGCCGCCATGACCAACACCCTGTGCTCGCTGGTGCTTTTTCCCTACGTGAGCCCGACTCGCCAAGCAGGGCGATTGGTGTGCACAGTTTGCTGGGAGAACGGGACAAGGGATGGGTGTCCTCAGGCGGACCGCGGGTAAAGCGCGGAGCTGGGGCCAGCAGATCACACACCTGGCTATTTCGGAACCGCTATCCGAGGATGCGGCTTAGGGAAAGAAAATGATGCTTTCTGCTTCTATTTGGAAAATAAAATGCCCCAGGCAAGATAACTGGTACCCAAATGCAAGTCGGCGGCTGTCACCCCCCTTTTAGCCCACCCGTCCATTTCTGATTGGTTATCTTTGACATGGGAGACTCGGCACAGCATCTCCGCGTCAGAATAAAACAGGTTTTGAGTCCCCGGCTCTGCCGCGTACAACCTGTGTACCCAGACCCTGCAATGTCCCTTTCTCTGCCAGAGAGTCGTTTCCTCCACGTTAATAAGGGGGTACCCCCTAACTGGGGTTGTAAAAAGAATCTAGACACGAGCCTTGTCCCTCTAGGGAAGGTACTTTCCGAGGAGGACTGTGTCCCACATGGAGTTGGATGGGGTACCCCCAAAACTGAGATGATCTCTCCACACATACGCTTTGAAAAGCACCCCCCCCCCTCCCACGCACCGCCCCGGGGAAACGGGCAGCGACACATGTTGCGGCAGAGCATAGTTGCGCGGCCTCGTGCTCCGGGACTTGGCACATGAGAGTTAATCCTTAACAGGTGGCGCCTTCGGCAGTTCTGCCGGGCACTGAGTGGCAAAACGGGCAGGGCCGTCAATCAAATGTCCTCTCGCAAAGGTCAAAATGCTGTTGAAAGGGACTGAGGATCTATCTTAGGGTGACAGGTGGGTGGCAGCCGGGAGGGCAAGGATGAAGCGCCTGGTGACAGAAGAGGGGTGAGAATGAGTGATGGTCCCAAACGGGAAAGGCAGAGGGGCCCCGCGGGGGTACCCAGTTAGAACAGCTCCCCCGCACTTCTTGGGGAGTTCCAAAGCAGCGTCAGAGCGAGCCCCCCGTGCCCAGCGATCCTGCGAGGGGGCTGTAACACAGACGGGAGGTTCCGGGGCTATTTGTGACCCCATAGCAAGTAACAAGGAGATGATAATGGACCACCAGGTCACGCGAGACCCCGAGCCTTGGGCGGAGGGCGCGTTTATAGATGCACAGGTGTGCTATTGAGGAGATGAAGATAAAGTGGGCTTTGGGGGGCATCGCGGGGGGCACCTTAACATGTCAGATAATGTGAGGGAGAAAGAGAACACCTCATGTACAGCTGGGGAGCAAGCAAGGAGCCCCAGAGACTAGAGCCCCCCAGCAGGACTTGCAAGGCGGATAGGCCCGCACCAGCCGCCGACGTCAAGAAAGCTTCAAAAAATCATGGCTCCGAGCATCCGAGTCAACAGGAGGACGTTTATTAGCCTTGGTATTAATAGCTAGGAAACAGCCGGAGCCGGCCGGGACCAATCAGCGGCCAGGAGCCCCTGTCGTCAGGCCCGCGCGGCCAATCAGACGCCGGCAGGCCCGGTTGCTAGCCTCCCGGGGGCAGAGGCGAGAGGTGCGCATTGTCGCGGGGGCTCCCGCTGGCCCTCCGCGCGTGGGAGGCCTGCGTGGGAGCTGAGGCGGCCGCCAGAGAGCCTCAGTAGCTACGCAGTTGGGGTCCCTGGAGGCTTAGAGACGGTGCCTCCTGGAGTCAGCCTTGCAGCCCCGAAAGGACGTGAGCTGATGCTCGCGGAGGAGCCCCCTGTCCTGGTTGGGGTGCCCCTGGGAGGCCCTGCAAGCAGAAACTCCAGGCATGCGGAGGAGCCCCCAGCCTTGGTTGGGGCCCCTGGGAGGCCCTGCAAGGAGAAACTCCAGGCATGCGTAGGAGCCCCCGGCCTTGGTTGGGGTGCCCCCGGGAGGCCCTGGAAGGAGAAACTCCAGGCATGCAGTGGGCCTCTCACTCCTCAAGGTCAGGCCCCATGAGGAAGGTTGGGCCTCCCATCGCAACCTTTTTTTCTGGGCTTCCTGGTTCCTAAGCAGTAAACCCAACTCTTTTTCAAGGTCTTAACTGACAAGGCCAAGGTAAAGGACACTGGAAAGTATGTGTTTCCGACAAGAGCGCCACGGGTTTGAATCCCAGCTCCGCTCCCTCCTAGCGGGGAGGCTGAGGTCCAGGCCCTTCTCTCGGGGCCCCTATTTCCTCGTCTGGAAAAAGGAAAGAGTTGGACAAGATGGTCCCCAAGGAGCCTTCCAGTCCTGCTCTGCTTGATTTGAATGTATACATCAGGCGAGTCAAATGTCTTCCAGAACATTCTGCATGACAGTAATTAGTATCAGGTGTATCCTGCAGTCCATGTGGTTACTTCATCATGCTGCTTTTCTTTCCATTGTATTTTATTTTAAACAGAACTCCATGGCAACATGTTTATCCTTCTGGCTTCCTAAAATAAAGAAAGAAAGAAAGAAAAAGATAGAAGGAAAAAAAAAAGCAAAGAGAGAAAGAAAAGACTGCTGTAAACTAATCTCTACTGAGCCTGGTTTAACCACAACAAAAAAAAAAAAATCCATATGTTTAACTGTTTTTGTTGGCTTTTCTGGGGCTCAGAACCTAACTTTTTAAATATTTATTGGTCCAAAGCACTGGAGGAAGTAACTTGAAAGAGCCAAATCGATGGTAATATTTGGACCCAAACTGTTTCTCAATCTGAGCAATGTCAAGCGAGCTTTCCTTGCTAGAGAAAGATATTTGAGGGCTTCGATTCATATCTATGGGGCAAAACAGACAAGGAAATCCAGGTTTGAGAAGTGGCTGGCTTTCTCTCTGTGCATGCTGGAACCCAGCTCTGCTGAAGAGCCTGGAGGAGAGCCAGTGTCCCAGACGCATGGCTTAGCCTGCTGCCTTTTTTTTTTTTTCACTTAGATCTAATTCAAAGCACACATTTTTCTTTTTTTTTTTAATTCATACTTGGGAACCCTCAAAAGCTGTGTGAGCAGTCTCATATCCACATGTACATACTTGTGAGCAAGTGTACAAACATCTTAAGATTTGGCTAAGAAATGAAGACAAGGTCTTCCTATATCCATCTCCTGGGCATGGGTAAATGTATTCTCTTCTCAAGAACCGTATTGAGGGCTTTTACAAAACAGCATCCTCTAGGTGCCAGCCCCTCTAAGTAGGCCTCTAAGTAGACCTTCCAGACTTCCAGGTACCCCTAAAATGGTAGTGTTCTCCAGAGATCTTTCCAGGCTCTCTTCTGCACTTCCCATGGGTAGCTGCTGAGATAGCTGATGTTGCTGCCTTCTTAACCTCTAGTTCAGTGCCAGCCTCTGGCAATGTGAACCCTCCAAAATCATATGTCCCTGAACCCCCTGCCATTCACCCATAGAGTTCAGCCAAAGTCAGAGAAGCAGCATGGTATACAGAGGGTCTTCCCATGAGGCTGTTTTAGGGTGGGGGAGCCTGGCATCATCAGGTACAACCTCTGCCTCCTGTAAGGTGTGAGATCAGGTATCAGGAAGTCAAGGATTTGGGGGAAGTGATCAAATAAATAACAGTCCCTTCTTCTGGGGTCCTGGAACTGACAGTGACTCTTCCAGAATGCACACTGACCCATTGCTCCTGTGCTAACAACCCTTCAGGAACTCGATTTTGCCCTCCAAAGGAAGTCTAACCTTTTCAGTCTGGCATTTAATGACTGGTGCAAGGGCCTCACTCTTATTTCTGGTCACTTATCCAAACACAATTCATACCCACATTACCACGAGTTGGATGCCTGAGGGTCCCTGCTGTGTGTCGTGATCCTGGGATTGGGAGGTGGGGAGCGTGGCCGGCTGTGCACTTCTGGACTTCTCCTACCAAGGACCCCAGTGTCAGGTGTGCTCTGCTCCCCCGAAAGCTGAGTTCCAGGTGCAGCCCCAAACTTTTCATAGAGGAGTTTGTCAAATTGTAGATATTAAAAGACAAATAAAATTCACCGCCTTTCGCAAAAGGCCAAGGATAAAGCTTACTTCCTGGTAGGCTGCTGGGGTTCAAGGCAGCATATGGATATATCTGACTCTGGGAGTCCCTGGTACGTGGGAGAGAGGGTGGGCATTGCTCTTTGGGAATACTTTTCATGACTAGAGCCAGTGAAAAGAGCTGGAAGGTAACACCCCAAAAGTACCCCCCCAAAAAACCATTCATTGTTCTGAGTGAATAGATCCCGGGCAATTTCTCTTCTTTTTACTTTTATGGAAATCTCTACCAGCATGTATTGGTTTTATAACGTGCGATTTCTAAAAATGCAACAATCTAAGAAGCCTGACCATCTGAGCCTCTTCCTTAGGGACCTCAAACATGAAATATTTTTCTAATAAGCAAATAAAAAGCAAGAGACTCAGGACTCCCCTTCTGTGTAGCTCAAGGCACAGTCCCCAGACAGAGAAATTCAAGCATGGGGTGGGCATGGGAGGCTGGGGGAGCCCCACAGCCATGCCTGACTTCTGGAAGGGCCCTCTTGAACCTTCCGCAGAGGTGAACGAATTCCAAGCTGGTAAAAGAGTGAACTTCAACGGCTTCATTCCTCCCGGAGGGACCTAGAACCCCTTTCACTAGGGGACGAGGCCAGCCACCACCATGGGTTGGGTGTTAGAAGTCACATGCCGACACCGGGAAAAGGTGGCCACCTGGCATGGCCCTGCCCCCACCCAGCCCTCCTGGCTTTAGGCGTGGGCCAGCCCCAGAATCACACGGGGGGGTTTTCTTGGCCCAACTCCATGGAAATATTTCCTTCGGAGGAGCA